AGCTCAGATGGCCTTTCCTCCCTTGAGAGTCAACTGAACTGCAGCCGCGGTTGCTACATTGCTGTGCTCATCAGCCCCAGCCATCTGCTCTCCCTGAGCTGGAGGCTGGATCAAGTGCAGGCCTTCTCAGGGTCACCAGCTTCTCCAATCCACCCCGGGCTCAGGTCTGGCTTTCCCAGGGCTGTGCAACTTGATTTGCCCATGCTCAGTGCCCTGGCCTTGCTAATTTTCACCTGCTGAGCCACCGAGTGTATTGTAGGTGTCACTCACTGGCAGAGTCACTACTGGTAAATAAAACACCCCAGGCCAGGGTAGCATCAAAGCTGATGGTTTCCGTGTGGGGGGACTGAGATGAAAGGAGCCAGCCGCAGTAGGTTTAAGTCAGAAATAAAAGCAACTGGCTTCTAGGCTTATTCTCCCCCTCTTCCCAGGGGTAGAAGAAGCCCCCCTTCATTTGTCCTTAGCTGCTTGCTTTCAGCCAGGATGATAATTTGCAGGTGATTAGCCCCGGATAACTGGCTACCAGGGCCCAAGGCAATTTGGGAGAAGGGTCTTTAGCACAAATGCACAAAGCCGTGGAAGCATTTGGGAGGTGGGAGCTGCATCCGTGTCTCAAACGCTGGCTCAGAGCCTGGAGTTTGTCTGCAAGTTCCCAGCTGGACCTGTTAAATCCTCACTTCAAAGCACCTGAGCCTGATACACCTCATTTACAACATCAGAGGCAGGTGTGAAACACTCACTGCATTTGATACCCACAGGTATGAACCAGGCGGGGGGCCTGACTCCCAGCCTCCGTCTTGCTCTGAGTTAGGACAGTCAAATACCCTCCCGTGATCCTGGGGCAGTTCAAACAGGGAGCGAAGGGCTCCCTCCCCTGGGTGACTGTTGGAGGTTGCAAGCCATGAAAGCCACACTTCAGTAGCCCCTAAATCCTAGATCTGCCCCTGGCATCAACGCCACCGCAGGGGCAGACATGGACTTTGATTTTAAGAGTGTGCGATACTTTGTAAAAGAGAAGCGAATCTCCAGAGCCCCACACTGGCTCGATCAGAGTCCAGATCCAACAGCCCTTGGCCAGGACAGTGGCAATAGAGTTCCCACAATGGCTCCCCAAACAGAAACCCAAAAGCCAATGCCACAGGCCTGCAGCAGCGAGCAATGCCTACCTCCAATACTAGATGTCACAAAGCCCCTTCCCAAGGAGGCCAGTTGCCTCCCTCTAACTTCACAGACAGGAAAACTGAGGCACAGAGCGGGGAAGTGGCAACGCTGGGATGGAGCGCTTTCCTCGCTACGATCGACCACCTCCCACCAGCTGCCGGTGGACTGAAAGGCATCAGCCACGGAGCCTCTGTGCAATTCTGCCTGGATTTTCTTCTCAAAACCAGTTAAAATGCTTTGAAAGAACCGAAGAATCAACAACGTAGACAACACGGGCCCAGTCTGCTGGTCTGGACCCTTATTTAGCCACTTATCCCAGCACAAAGCGAATATAAAAGGCAACCCATCCAGATCAGACCACGAGTTACAGCCACTCTGCATGGATGTGGGAGGAACCAGAGAACCAGATGTTGCCTCCTCTTCCTCCCTGCCCGTCCCCCTGGCTCCACAGGCATTCCCTTTACCCAGAAGCTCCCCCCAGGCCTCCAGCTTCCCCATCTGCATCTCACTCAGGAAGCCGTGCTCAAGACAAGAAAGCAACAGCAGCCTGCATTTGACTGGCATGTTTTCCTCCACATGTGCCACTCTCTTGTAACTGGCTTCTGTCTGTAACACCGTGAGCCGGATTGACAAAGGGGAGGAATTTGGTCAGATTTGCAATAAATAAGAAATGTAAAATAACAAGGAATGATGACATCTCAGTTTTGCAGCCCATCTGTGTGTTCTGGGTTTGTACAGCGCCTGGCACAAATCAGGACCCAGTCTGTGAAACACAATGGCCCCAGCCACACATTCAAATTCAAGCTGGATACAAACCAGCTATAAACTTGTTACACATTGTCAAGCACTAACTGTTGGCTCTTTTTATAGCTGCATGGACGTTTGTATGGTGTAGTAATTACTTTGCTCATGTGGGCTGGTTTAAATTTATTGTGTAGTTAACCCATTAATTGCATGATAATGACTTTGCAGGTGTGGCCAGTCTTAGTTTGCACAGTCTAAAATTTACTGCACAGTTAACCAATGAATTGTGCAATATATGTAACTTGTGGCAGAGGCCAAAGAGTGAGAGAGATGCAGGAACTGTAGCTACTTTTGTCCTGAATTAGAGGGAAAACAATGAATTCCATAACTGCTGAGGAAGCAACATTTTGGGGGGCAAAAAAGAGGGTTTTGGCCACAGGAAATGTTTCGCTTTGATTCTGGATATGTTTAACGAATGGTGGACGTGGTTTTGAACCTGGAAGAGGTTTCGAAATGAAGTGTCCCGCCCTGCGAACATCGATGAACTTTCACTGAAATCGATGACTTCCCATAGGGATTTGCAGGTGCAATGAGACGGCTTTTTCCGATGGAAAATCGCTCCGTCGGGAATTTTCCAATCTGCCCTACAACTAATCAAAGCTCAGCAAGGGGCAGCCTCCCAGACAGCTCTGAGTCGTGGAGAGCACAGGGCCAGCTTTGGGGTGTCACTTTGTGCCCCAGCCTGCAGGACAGTCCTAGCTGTACACGGGATGCTAAGCCCGATGCCCTCCAGACTCATTGACCAGGGAGTGAGGAGGAGGAGGACGAGGGAGGAAGTAGGTGGAGAAGAGAAGAGGAAGAAATAGCATCCTTTCTGAAGCCCTAACGAGTTAGATGGGGAAATGATGGCTTTGCCGAGAAATTCTGGGGAAATTCTGTCCTTGACCATCTCTCTTAATCAACCAGCTTTTGTCATTCCCTTGGCTGGCTGCTTAGGAGAGATAGGGAAGAGGAAGGTTTTACTGGCTCCCAGCATCCATCTGCAGGTGTGCTTCATTAAACCACACGTCCTGGCCATCTTAGTGCTCTTATATGCCTACATTTCAATATTATTCCAGAGCTTTGCATCTGAACACTAGCCCTGACACACAGTCTGCTAATCCAGTGTAATTAGGATTTCCAGCTTTTCCGGCGAGCTTCTGGATTCAGAAAATCAGTGCTATTTTTAATGCTAAGTGTTATATCTGGGAACTACATGAATGTTTCTTTCTTGTTTGCTGCTTAATCAAAGGAAGGGCACAGCAGAATGGTTTGCGTGCCATATATTATTTGTTAAGAGTTGCATTTGATTCTGCCCACGGAGTAAAACGGATCCTGTGGGCACTCAAAACTGGACAGCAAAGAAAAGAAATCAAGAAAAGTCAAATCTCTGCCTTAACACCAGACATTGCAGTAGGAGAAGAGTGACGGTGAGTCAGAGGTATCACTGCACACTTAACAGATAAGTCTTTGAAAAGAACTACGTCAGAGACGTGAGACATCTAAAAGGGGCAATGTCGGCTTGCAAGTTTGGCCCTGTATTTAAGCTTTGTAAACCATCAGCTTGTAAAGAATACTCCAGCCTTGCTGTTGAAGTCCAGTGGATGGGAACTTAGAAAAAAAAAATCAGATAAACCTTTCCAAGCAATGTTTGTAGCCCAAACATCTCAATCTTAGAGAGCAAAGGAACCCTACGAAGGGAAACCGAGCAGACCTGGAAGTGAAAATAACACCTCTCCTTTCACCTGAGCTGCACAAAGTAAAGAAATCAAGCCTCTAATGATCCAACTCTGCTCTTCATACTCCGTGTGTTATTTGCAACATAGGTACGGACTTCTGGTTCCTTAAAAAACATGAAACAAAGCCAAATGGATGTAACACTGGTGGTGTCCTTCCAACCCCCACAGGGAGAAATCGTAGTGTATTCCCCCTCTTGTCCTGCCACTTAAATGCCCGAAAGCTGAGCCACCCAATTAGCAAAGTGCTAGACACCAGTGAGGAAAGATACCCGAGCTCTAAATTGAGATCAGCTTGTGTTTCAGCAGGTCTCATCCTGATCTGACACCAGTACCAGTCAAGAGATGTCATCAACTGGTGGGAACGAGTAAGACAGAGCAAGGACCAGCCTCTCTTCCATTCCAGCTTCTAGCTTTCTCTTGCCCCTTGTGCCAAAACCCCAGTTTCCCATTTCACCCTGACTTGAGCAAAGAAACATGGAACCCAAAAGAACCACACAGCATGGCTGCCTGGTGGATAACGAGGATCAGATGCAGGAAGGAAGACATTATCACAGCTAAATCTCATTGCACTGGGTGAAGGGATATCCTGAAAGCATGAGTGGACAGACACACACAGCTAGGGGTACCACAGATTGCATACTGGTCCCCTCCGGGTGGAGGGCTGCATATGTACCACGCTAACAGCCGCTGCCTGCCAGCGAGTTTTGGGGGAGTTGGATCAGTGCAGGACCTGAGCTAGTGAAAATCCCAGTGAATTGCAATCCAGTGATGGAGACCCAGGAGGCTCCTGCGGCCACCTTCAAGTAGGGATCTCCTAGGTCGGACAATTGACTCCCCACTCAGCTTGGATGCATCTTGAAGCATCTTTGAAACAGGGCTGCCAAGTGCTGGCTGGGAAAGAGAAGCCCAAGCTGCCAACACTCTTAGTTGGAGAGCCAAAGCACAGGCCGCAGCCACGGGTTGACAACAGCAAAGCCGGGGCTTTTATACCGAGCGAGAGCGGCTGTCCCATGGATGTACAAGCACGCTGGGGTCTCTCGGGGGCTTTCCGCCCTCCAAGGGGCATGGAACCAGCGCAGCGGGGACGGGACTTGGAGCGGGAAAGGAGGCTTTAAAAAAAAGGAGGAATCCAAGTGGTTTATTGGAACACGTGGTCGTCTTGTCTGGGGACGGGGCACGGAGAAGGGAACACGAGGGTTGGGATGGGGCCAAGCTGGGTGAGAACAGGCACCTTGTACTGCTTCGAACACTGGAAATAATAAAAAAAATCCCCCTCTCTGCCCCCCTCCCATGCCCCCCGGACCCCCCGCCGCTTGCCTTCACATCATGCTCTTCCTGTACTGAGACTGTGAGCCCTGCTTGGGCTTAGAGTCCGAGAGCGGCAGGTCGAGCTGTTTGTACAGGTCCCTCAGCTCCTTGATCTCCTGCAGCACCTTCTTGGCTTGGCTCCAGGCTGAGGAGGCCTCGCCCAGCAACCTCTCCGTCTCCTGCAGGATCTTCTCTGAGTCCGACCTGGAGGAGGACGATGAGGAGGTGCCGGAGGGGGTGGTGCTGGTGGCGAGATCCCTTGTCTTCCGTTTCCCTTCCCCGTAGCCCTTCACCTCTGTCAGCAGTTCCTGAGTTTTTTCCAGTTTCAGTGCAACCAGTTCCTGTATCCGGGCCAGCTGCTCCGGCTCTGCCGAGGCAAACTGTGCCTCGATCCCCCTCCTCAGCACCGCCCGGTGCGCGGAGGAATCCCGGTGGGACAGGATCTCCTCCAAGGAGGCACATTTGTTCTTTTCCGAGTGAGAGAGCTTCTTGGGGACCTGCGGCGTGTACACGGGCCCCTTGTCGATGGCATCACGCTGCCCCGCTTTGTCCCAAGAGATCACCTCCCGCCGTGGGAGGCTCCCCGACCGGCCCTTCTCTGAGGGCTTGACATTCTCCGAGTCGGACCGGCGCCGCCCGGCTGCCAGGTGGGCCACGGATTTGTCCAGGTCCACGCGGAAGCTCTCGGCGCAGGTCCCATGGTCCTCGGGAGAGGTGTCCTCCTCCTGGATGAGGTCCAGGGTGAGCATGCCATCAGACGTTGAGGTAGATGCCTGCAGGACACAGGGAGAATGGAGGGGGCCGCGGTTTCACAGACCCGAGGGCGGCAAGGCTAGTATTTCATTGCCAGGGCAAAGAGAAATCTTCAATCCCCTGGCCATATCTAACACCTCCATCACCTGGGTCAAGGACCAGGAAATGAGGAGGAAGGGGGATCCAGGGGCGGAGATTCAAGACATCTGAGTTCAGCTCCCAGCTCAGACACAGACTCCAAGGACAAAGTCCCTAGCCTGGCCCTCAGCTCCCCAGCTGCAGGGTGCGGGAGCTTGGAGACACGCTCCATTTTGTATTATCCAAGCCAGGAAAGAGCTGCCTGATGGTGACAAGCGGGGCCCTGTGCTCCTCAGACAACATTCCCGCCCGAGTGGGGCATCAGCCCCGAGCTCAGACATGGTCTCGTCCTCCATCTATGCACAGAATTAATCACTGACGATGGCAGCTGACAGGAGAGGCAGTTCATGCACCGCGTTCCTGGGACTCAGCCTACGTACCACAGCCATCAAGTGTCCCCGGGTTGGGGGGCGTCGCGAGTGCTGGATCTTCACTCTGTCGCGAGTCGGGTGGGCGAGGTAGCTGTCCTCCTCGACAGTGACCTGCAAGGCACATGACAAAGGCTGACTGATGGCCCAGAGATACAGCCCACTTGGCCTCCATGCCCCCACACTTGGAGCTGGGTGGATAATTCAGGGCATATTGTTTATTCAGCTGGGTTTCCCTGCCTGCCTGTGGTCTGCCTGCCTGGAGCCATCGATAAAACTCCAAGGGAGCCAATATTTGGAACAATGGACTGATCTGTTCATGGAGGAACACCCAGCCCGCAGGACACTTGCACTGCAAACTGCAAAGTCACAGGGTGGGTGGACAAGTGGTGTTCCCTGCAGTGGTGACCAGTCCAGCAAATGCTGTGAAAATGGCTTTGTTTTGTGAAATACTCACAGAAGGAAAACTTGCGAGCTCACCCAATGCCAAGGGGCAGGGACTTCCGAGAAGTCCTTGCTTTGGGCTGGAATAGAGATTGCAGGGAAGAGAAATACCACTGGTGGTAACTCAGACAAACCTTCCAAGGCTGCATGAGCTGCATTGACTCCTGTTGGAGATGCAATGGCAGGTGGGGCCCAGAGCCAGAGGGGCACACGAATCTACCTGTTTGTCACAGGGTTTTGCTCTGCTCCCATGGCCATGACAGCAGGATTCTCCCATGACAGCAAACAGCACAAGGGCAGTCCCCCGTGGGGTGGAGTAAGAGGGGAAGGAGGATGGGCTGAAGATCACTTCCAATCGAGGCTGAGACAACAGAGACAGGCCCCAGCCCACGGGCCCTGCTCACCTCATCCAAGATGCGGTTTTTGGCTCGGGTGATTGCAGAGTTGAGGGCGTTGATCCAGGACTCCTTCTCCTCTGGGCTGACTGCAAGGAAGATCAGGCTTGGTGCCTAAGAGAGAGGGGAATGCATGTCAGGGCTCCGGACTGCTCTCACACAAACCCTGTTGCCCTGGCCTTGCCCAAAGACAAGTCCCAGTGCATTTGCAGTCCACCCACCCGCTGACCAGGCCCACCATCAGTGCACAGCTACATACAGCACATCATTCACACCAGCAGGCAGCTCCTCTCTGGCCATCTCTGGGGTCTGGGCATCTCTGCAGTTGTGATATGTGTACAGATTGTCCAAAAAGCCCAGCTTCTATTCACCTAACCAAGTACCTGGATTTTCCACAGCAATCAATGGATACTGAGCACTTTGGAACCTGTAATTCTGGTCTGAGAACATCTGACCTTGAGGTCTATCAAGTGGAGGATCGTGCCCAGAGCCTGTAGCGGGACAGTCCTGGTTTTGGTTGAACATTTAGAGACCATGTAAGGACGCAGTTGCTTTTCTCCCCATCTGCCATTTGGAAAGTTTCTGTACCTTCCACCACTTCTAACAAGGTTGGAGGCCATAGCCTTCACCTTCCACTACTTCTGAGGTGCTCAGGAAAGTGTCCCCCAATATACAGCAAGACACCACAGTGAGAAGGAAAAGCCACTGAGGGCAGAATATGCTGAAGTGAGGAATATAAATCCAGCTCGCAGCTGGGCCACAGGAGCTCTGCTCATGGGTACTCAGCCTTCGTTTCAAGCAGAGCTGGCTGGGCATCAAAAATCCTGATATTACAAATTTCAACCCAACTGGAACATCAAATGGAAATTTCAGAATTTCCTGAGAAGATAAAAAATGAGTTTGGACCAACCGATACGATTCTTTGTAATTCAGCCTTCTTTCAGTGTTGTAGTATAAAATAAAAATGTATTTCCAAACTAAAAGGTAGTGCCGGAAGAAAACATTGGGAGGCCCCAAGCCAGAAACGCTGAAATGGAAGGTTTTGACACAAGCAAAAGGCAGCAGTTTGATATTTTTGTTTCCAGAAGGAAATTCATCAAAATCAGCACATTCCCATCCAAAGTCTGGGTTCTGGTAAAACACCTCTTTCTGCTTGGGAGACCTCTGTCAGAGAATCAGAGAAAATGAGGTTGGGAAGGACCTCAGGAGGTCACATCTAGTCCAACCCCTGCTCAAAGCAGGACCAGCCCCAACTACATCATCCCAGCCAAGGCCTTGTCAAGCTAGGTCTTAAACACCTCCCAGGATGGAGAGTCCAGCACCTCTCTGGGTGACCTGTTCCAGTGCTTCACCACCCTCCTAGTGAGACAGTTTTTCCTAATATCCAGTTTAAACCTCCCTTGCTGTAACTTGAGCCCACTGCTCCTTGTCTGTCATCTGCACCCACTGAGAACAGTCCAGCTCCATCCTCTTTGGAGCCACCCTGCAGGGAGTTGAAGGCTGTTACTAAATCCCCTCTCAGTCGTCTCTTCTCCAGGCTAAATATGCCCAGTTCCTGCAGTCTTTCTCCACAAGTCATGTCCTCCAGCCCCCAAACCATTTTTATTGCCCTCCGCTGGACTTTCTCCAACTTGTCCACAGCCTTTCTGCAGTGGGGGGCCCAAAACTGCACACAGGACTCCAGGTGTGGCCTCATCAGTGCTGAATAGAGGGGAATAATCACTGCCCTCGATCTGCTGGCAGCGCTCCTACCAACGCAGCCCAGGATGCCGTTAGCCTTCTTGGTAACGAGGGCACACTGCTGGATTATATTGAGTTTATTGTCCACTGTAACCCCCAGCTTTTGCCTGGGGGTTACAGTGGGCAATAAGCACTGGATCATCTCTCTCTTTTAGCAAGAGACAAGCACTCAATGAAGAGAACAAGGGAAGGCAAAGTCTGGAGAAACGTGCATGTGTGACCACTATAGAAAAGCGGGTCAGAAAATCATTATCAAAGCAATTTTGCCATCAGAAAAGATTTTTTTACTGAAATTGCTTTTTTTTCTTTTTTAAATAAAGTTGCACCAATGTCTGTCAATAACATTTCAGCTGGAGAAAAAAAATTTAAAAAGCTGTTTAGAAAATGTGGAATGGTTCCAAACAATTCATGTCTAGGGAAAAAATATTTTAAAATAAAAGGGTCATCGTCTAAACAACACCTTTCTAATTGATCAAACCCAGTCTTTTGATTGCCACAATGCTAATTTTTTTTTTTAAAGTAATTTTGTTTGGTGAAAAATGTCAATCTTTTTTTCCAGATTGGGAGAAAATAATGGGAATCACAGCTAAATTTTGTTGTGGTGTTGTGAGACCCAGGACCACGTTCTGCCCCCTCCAGAAGCCAATGATTCCTGGGTGATCAGCATCAGTGTAGGACCATACCCACGTGCTGTTGTTCTGAAATAGCTTTAATGATGCCAGTAGCACTGTTTTCTGGCAGAGGTTCTGATCTGTGTTGATATCGCTTCAAAAAATATGCTGCCTTTTTAGTGGACCAGGGGCTAAATTACTGGCCTGTTTAATTAGTTCTCTCGAGGCCTGATTTCAACACCACGCAAGTCAACGGCAAAAATCCTCCTGATCTGCGTATTCTCCTATGCCTTATCACTCAATAGCTGTTGCCTGCGATGGACAGAGCTTCACAGATCTCAAGGCCAGAGGGGATCACAGCGGATCATGCGTCTCATCACGCAGGTGGTAGAACCTGCCCCACAAACTGCTGTGTCCAGCATGTGCAGGCCGCGGTCAGTGGAGGCCGTAGCTGTGTGCTGTCGCTGCCACATGTAAAGGCAACAACTTGTCAAGGCGCAAGAGCAACTGAGTGCCCCTGAGAGGGGATTACCGTGTTCCCAGGCTGCTTGGAGTGTGCAAGCGTGAACTTGCTGTGGTTCTTCTTGCTTCTGCTTTTCGACTTCCTGAGCTCTTCACATTTCTCGTAATCGCTCAGGTCAAACACTTCTTGGCCATTCTTCTCATCTTTCACCTGCGAAGTCAATGCAAATCTTGCATGTTAGTAGCATGCCAGGGCAGACACGAGTCTCCCGCTTGGGATGGGCTGGAGGGGAACCAGATCCACTGCATTTATAGCAGGTGCAGCTGTAATTATTCCTATGGGCTGTACAGTGAGAACGGCATTCAGCTGTTGGTGCTGGAGTGTACCCTGATGCCCGAGTCCTGTGTATCATCTACAGCTGACTGATGCTAGACTATTAGAGTTTTTTGGGGGGGAGCTTTCCAGTAGGGCAATTTGGGGCGTGGGACAAGAGGACTGGGATGGCTGGAGACTAGCTTAAAAATCAAAACACCATGATTCAAGTCCCTGCTCTATTACAGACTGACCCTGTGACCCTGGGAAAGTTCCTCTGAGGGTAACAGCCCTGTGGATAAAGCTATTGGAGATCATAAAAGCATATGCTCTGCCAATAGGAGCCATGTAAGTTACTTCAGCAGATGCTACTGTATATCGATAGGCCTCCAAAATGAGCTCACCAAACAATTCCTTGGCAGGCTCAGTTCTTCTGGCTTCAAATCAGACATGTGCATAGGTGAAGGCTTTGGGAGTAGATGCAGGCTCCTTCCCCAGGAGCCCACTTGGGCTGGGTGGGTAAGCATGGGTGCAAGTTCTATAGATAGAAATGCAGGGTCTATTTGCAAAGAGACACCAAGGTAAAAAGTGGCATCTCTGCCTTTCTCCTCTTAACCCCTGCCCTCCCCAAGGCAAAGGCTCCCCAGAAACACTGGTGCACTGGAGCAGGTAGCAGCAGCAGCTGGGAGAAGGGAAAAGATAGATCGATCGATCGATCGATCGATCGATAGATAGCCCTGTTTTGCAAAACATGAATGCGATCTCCAGTTGGCTGCGGGCAGCACCAAACCCTCTGCTCAATCTGCCAAAGCAAAATGCCAGCTTTTGCCATCCTGGGGAGTGTTCTTCCAGATCTGTGCCAACAGGAGGGAGTGAAGCCCTGGCCCTGTGGGCAGCTGGCGATGCCGGAGGAGGTGGCACCTGTCTCTGGATTAGCACAAGCAATTGCATTCACACCCGGTGCCTTCCGGGAGGCGGCATGACCAACGTTTGGAGGAGAATGATTAGCACTGGCTATTTTTAACCCATGGGAGCTGTTACAGCGTGTGCTGACAGCCGGTTTGGGAGGGCCAAGCCAGGCCCAGATTCATGACCCAATTGCCAAACCCTGCAGCCTCTGCACCCTAGTCTCATCTGCCCTGAAGGGATTAGTAGACAAAATTCATTGAAGCCCAACACTGCAGAGCAGGGGGTGAACAGTCTGAAACACAGGCTATTATTACATCAGGGCTGGGCTGGCGCAGCCCCTGCTACAACATACACCAGCTAGATTCAAACGATGCCCTGCGAGGGCTTGATTCCACTGAAACCAAGAGCCTGTTGTGACAATCTGTTGCCATCTCCAGAGCCCCCGCCTTGCAGCGTCTCTGCATTTTGGGGTCTCCCCTGTCCTGGAGTTCACTACCACCTGCATCTATAACTGGGGCAGGATGCTGGGAAGAGGATCTGACCATGAGCAGACAGCAAGGGCCAAATCCTGGCATGCTCTGACTTCAGTCTGTGCCATTACAGGCTCCTGTGAAAGTCCCGGCTGCCTGACTTCAACTGACAGGCACCTAACTCCCTTGGGTCTCTCCAGAAATGCCAGTTCCAGTCAATGGGAAATGTGTCAGCGGACGTAGGAGGTCTGTCATGTGAGTCTATTCCAGAAACAAAGCAAAGTCTCCTAGAAACAGCATCACTTTCTATCTACCCAGACAAATGCACACAGAGGCAGGTACTGAGGCATGAGCACACGCATGTCCCCACCAGTACTTCCATCTGGGCATGGGGGGGCTTCAGCTTATTTCCCATGTCTTCCAACCCTCCGGGAATTCCAGTGGGCTCCGGCCCCATTTATTTGTGACCGGAAAGGCTGATCCGCATTGGGCCATGTGTCTGCATCTCCCTCCCCTCCCCAGCTGTGACACTCCAGCCAACACAGAACTCGTCATTCCAGATGTTTGCCCATTTAGGCCATAGACCTGTCATTGCTTCTTTGCACACATACACACCTCATGCCATCACGGTGGAGTTTACCACTTGTCATGGGATGCAAAGCTCACTTCACCCATCTCCTCTCAAAGAGGGGTTGTTTCTCACTAGGTTCAACAGAACCACGATGCATCACTAGGACTACACCAGAGCCCCTCAGAGCAGTCACAGATCCCAAACAAGCGCGCCCTGGTTGTTACAACGGCTCAAGTGGCCTCTGAGCACCCTTCAAACCACTCCAATCCAGACACTGAGAAGGCCACTCTTGAGCTATAATGCATGATGATATACAACAGCAGCCAGTACTGTAACAGGCTGCAGCAGCATTAAATTGAGGTTTGAAGCCAAGCACTGCTCAAGTCCAGCTGTGAATACAGATGGATGAGAGGGGAACATCTGCAAGGGATTTAGGATCCTTCACTGGGACTTGGGTGTCTATACGCTATTGAGTATCGTGGGCTTGGCTATGCCTTCTGGTTGTGCTCCATGTAAGATAGCTACTGAGTCGGGCCATCCCCATTCCCTGAGTTTCAGCTCCTTTCCTGGGCACAGCGCTGGCATGACAACCTACCCCTGGAGGTCTTGAAGGCAACAGCCCCTGGCCCCATTTTGGCCTGGTCCCTGGATCCTGAGAGCTTCCACTTCCCAGCCCTGCCAAGTTCGGGTGAACAGGGCCATACTGCACGCAGCTGATTTGCTTTCATGGATTGGGACGGGGCTGAGGATTTACCTTGACTCCTTTCCAGATATCCTGGTAGAGCATCCCTAGGTGCTGAGGGACGCAGGAAGGAGGCAGATGCCAAGGTGCGAGGGGACTGGGGGAAGACAGCGCGATCCCTCTGTCCTCTCCAGCGGCTGGTTGGTAAAAGAGCAGTCAAGAGCCAGATAATAGTATTGACCTTCACTTATGCTGGGCTGATCTAAGGCAGCCGCCCAGGGCTCAAGGCTGTTGTGGCTTCTGAGCTGTCAATCCCAAGCGCTCAAGAGCCTTGGGCATGTTTTCTTAGTTACAGGCTCAGATGATTCCCAAAATGGCCAGTGATTTCCAGGACTTGAGACCCTGAATACCCCTTGCTGTGAAACACTGGCCTCTCCCCTTGGATTCCTGGCATCAGAACAGGAAACTACCTGAGACTCCAACAATCCTGGCCTCGGTGCATTAGGAACAAACGAAGCAGCAGGTAACCCCACAAGGACTGGTCATTGGTGCTATTCGAATCTCTTTTCTCTTCACTAACCTAATAGTGGGTACCCATAAACCTCCCCTAGCCGTCTGTCTGTATTGAAAAGCCGTGGCCCAAATTCTTGTGGGCGACATCTTTCATTGGACCAACTGTATGGTTGGGATAGGCAACCTTTTGGGTGTCACGGTCCTGTTCGTCAGGTCGGGTATATTTAACACTGAGCCTGGCAGCCTGGGACCCAGGAGCATGACAAGCAGTCATTCACCATTCAGTCACCATCTCCTGCTTTTGCCCAGATTTGTTATGGAAAATCTTTGCTTGCTTGACGGTTTGGGTGAGGCGAGTTTGCTGAGTCCCAAGAGTGTCATGGCTGGCAACACCCCAGCGCATCGCAGGAATCCTTCCAGGTAGAGCTGCCACATGAGCATGAAGACTAAACGCTCTCTCCCCCTGGACTGGGGTCTTCAAGGCTTCCTGATGGCATCCAGAGATCCAAAATCCACCATGCATCACATGCCAGGCTGGAATCGTAACCCAGAAAGACCCTGGCTTATTGAATCCTGTCCCCATGTCTTGTGCACTCTGGCTCATTTCTCTGCCCCTGAAAGGGGTTGCTGGGGAGGAAGAGGGAGGCATCCCAGGCCCTCCCTTCTCCCGTCATTAGGATTCTCCTTCCAATCTCCAGCCTCAGTTTACCACAGACTGTTTGCACCACAGGCTATTGCCTCTCTCCTCCTCCTGCCCCGGGGTAGAGGCACACAGTAGTCCTCTCCTTTCTCTCTCCTGCTGCTTTCCCTTTCTCCAAGGCAGCTGGCACTGTGGGAAAGGGGATTTGGGGCTGGATGGGCCACGGCGCTTTGCTGAAAGAGCAATCCCTATGCTCGTGTCTGCGCGACTCTACCTTCTTATGCCCTGCTTTGGCCGCTCTTCGCCTGCTCCCGCCCTGCCCCGGATAGTCCTCTAGGTTGCACGCTCCTTGTCAGCAAAGGTTGTCTCCAAGAGCAAGCTCGGTGCAGCAGGGCTTTTGCAAAGCCCTGTGTCAGCAGAAGCAGCCGCAGAGTGTGTGGGGGAAGATTCAGTCTCTCAGATCCACCTGGCCATGGTAGGGCTTCCTGCAGCAAGTGCTGAAGATGTGCCAGGGACCCGGTGGGCAGGGTGGGCTGGGACCAGGAAGGCAAAGGGCCAGCTGGGAAGGGCACTGAAGAGCCTTCCTGTTGTGTGTAATGAGCTGGAAGGTCTCAGAGCCCAGTGGGTGGGTCACAAAAATGTCCCCACCAACGGCAGGGGACCGAGGGCTGACAGGACCATGGAGACAGGGCTCTGGCTGGCTCTGAGGTGCGGTAGCCCAGCAGCCCGGGAAGCTTGCTCTGCTGTTGTCTTCAGGAGAATGGGACTTTACTCCAGCCTGGCTCCCTGAAGTAATCACTTGGGGAGGGAGTCCTCCATGAATAGAGCATCTGCTGAGTCCAGGGAAGGAGAGGGCAATGCTGCCGTCTCTCACAGAAACAGTGATTTCCAGCCACAATCCAACCACTGAGCATCCAGCGACTGCAGAGGGAGTCAAATGCCCACAAGGCTCCTACCTGTGTCCGGAGGTATCTAAATACCTTCCGGGTCTGTCCCTAGCCTCAGCCCTCGGAGCTTTTACTTTAACACCAGGTAGAAGAGAAAGGGAAACTGAGGCACAACGAGCCTCCCTACACCAACACACATGTAATATGCACCAACACCACTCCTGGCCACAGCTGCAAACACAAACATGAAAGCCCTCACTGCACCAACAGCATTGCCCTACACAAATACACACGCGAGTGACCACAAGCTCGAGTCTGCAACGTGCTAGAAGCATCACCCTGTACATACGCGCCTCCAAAAACACACGCATGAGCCTCGCAGCACATGCACACAAGCCGCCTATGCACAAACCACTCCGAACATGCAACTCCCCACCCCACAAATCAGCGAGCTGCAACAAACCCAGCCGCGCGAACAGGCCACTTTTCAAGTGCTCTTGTGCTAATTGAGTCGACACGTTTGGTAGCAAACAAGCGGAGGCTTAAGGAAGTCCAGCAAAGTGTTTCCTCATTAACATCTCTTCCTCGCAGGGCCCCTGCGTGTTCTCTGGCCGGCTCTGGGCTTCCTGACAGGAAGTGGCAGAAGCCCAGCTGTGTGCGCGCTAGGCAGACCGCTATTCCCAAGTGGAGCCCGATAACAAAGCGGTGCTAGAAACGAGAGAACAATTACCAGAAATTTGCAGAGGGAGGGAGGGAGCTGGGCAAAGCCAGAGGGAAGGAATGCAAAATGGAAAGGAAACCGGTGCCCTTCTGCTCGCCAGAAATCAGTTCGCACCAGACCATCCTGCCTCTCTGGGAACTTTCTGGCTGCCAACCAAACCCAAAACAAGGAAGGTTTGGCATAGTCCTGGGCACTTCTCGGCAGTGGGGGCTAATGATGCGCACGTGCAGTTGCTGCAATTGGATATACAAATGTCTCCAGTTCTGGTGCATGCATGAAAGAGCAAACAGCTACGGTGGAGCAGGTGGAAGCGTCTTGCAGAGTCAGAAGGACGATGTGGAGACGACCTACACCAAGGCTGGGTGCTTCTCAGGCAGCCGTGTTTCATGGCCAGACCTAACAAGTTGCATCAGAAGCCAGGTTCCCAGAGAGAGTCTGGCGGCACATCAATGCCGGGCACCGGGCAGTTTGGAAGATCTAGTTTTGACCCCACCCCTGTCTCCACAGGACCTTCCTGCTCACTTCTCCTTTAGGGTCCCGCAAGCATCTTACTTCCCTCTTCAGTCACATCTTCCCCTACCTCAGCAGTGGCCAGCCTTTTTGGCAAGTACCATAAACTAGCTCCACACCCTCCCCGAGTGCCACTCCGATCCCTTCATTTCCCCAATCTGCTGCTTTGCTTTCTGCTTCTTCCCCAATCTGCTTCATGCCACACAGAGGCAGTCGTGCCACTTGTGGCATGCGTGCTGCAGTTTGGCTGCCCCTGCCCTACATGATGCTGGTAGCAACAATGATTTCAGAGTAGGGGCGGACCCTCGGCCTGGCCAGCAGAGAGTCCCTATCACCACTGCTCAGCACCATACAGATACCCCTCTGTTTTTTCTACTGGAGCATGAGAGGCTGCGTCCCACTCTGCTTGGCAAATCCAGATTGATTCACCCATTGGCAGGAGAGGCCAGCATCTGTTTCCAGGACGGGCAACTTGCAGAGAGTGGAAAGCAGAGTGGATGCCAACTGCTTGGGGAGAATGGGAAAGGAGCACTGGGTCTGGGCCTGCTGATGGGCAGAGCACTGGAGAAAAGAGGCTGAGGGAATATGCAGAGATCAAGGGGGAAGAATTTACCACTTCTCCAACATACCAGCACCACCTACGTGTGTGTGGCACGTATGTACTACCTACACACACACACCTCCTGCATGCATGCACTCACCACCTTGATGCCCTGCATTCACATGTGCCTCCATCACACATGAAACATGCAGCACAGATATATGTTGTGTAGACATCCATGCTCACGCTACACATATGCCCACACCAAGCAAACGTATATCACAGATCAGAGGATCAGAGGAAAGTGGGGCTGGAAGGGACCTCAGAAGGTCACATCTAGTCCAGCCCCCTGTTCAAGGCAGGATCAGCCGCGATTGAACCATCCCAGCCACATGTCTATCCAACCTGCTCTTCAATGTCTCCAGGGATGGAGACTCCACAGCTTTTCTAAGCAGCCTGATTCAATGCTTGACCACCCTCAGAGCCAGAAAGTTCCTCCTCATTTCCATCCTCAATTTCCTCTGCTGCAGCTTGAGGCCATTGCTCCTAGTTCTGTCCCCTGCAGCCACAGAGAAAATCCCATCTCCATCCTCTTTATAATCACCTTTTAGGTATTTGAAGACTATGATCCCATCTCTTCTCTTCTCCACACTCAATCAACCTAGCTCTTTCCTCATCAGTCTCATCTTCAAGGCCCCTAATCATTTTTGTCACTCTGCACCAAACTCTCTCCAATCTGTCCACAGCTTTCTTGAAGTGTGGGGCCCAAAAATGGGCCCAATGCTCCAGATGAGGCCACCCCAGTGCTGTACTGAGCAGGTGCACTCCCCCCAGAACACACGGGTTGTTCATTCACATGCAAGCCAGTGTCACGAGGCAGTGCACAGCGCCACCGCACACATGTTCTTTCTATGTAGTGATTCACAGAGGAACATCCCCTTCTTCCCCATGCAAGCACACCCGTTTGGGGAGGGATTCACCCAGACAGTTGTTATCCCTTTAAACTCGCACACACTCATCCTTTGGTCTAAGGGAACATGAAGACTGCACAGTATCCAGCCACATGCTCCAATGCACTCCTTTTTTCCTCCAGGTAGTGCCCCCTTACTCAAGTAGACACACACATGTGCTATTTATCCCTGCCAGGAGACCCACACCTGGTCACCCAAACAGGCACATGCAGCTTATTCAGAGATGGGTATTGCCATGGCTAGATCTTGAGGCCTCATGCAGAGCAGGTGGCTGGAGGGCTGGGGCAGGGATCCCTCCCACACACTGTTGGTACTCCTCAAAGCACAGATACAGGGCCCGTGTCCTCAAGCCCTTGAGCTGTCTAGCAAAGAGCCCAGATGCTCAGGCTGGGCACAGGCCTTACTGCTGCCTGCAGACTCAGCAAGGCGATGTAACCCTGGGTAGGTGTAGGTCACTTGGGGAAGGAGCCTTATTCATCCCCAGCTAACCCTGACCCTGCACAACCCAGCAGCTTCCTCCCTGCCACCTCGCCGTGGCACGATGCTTTGCCCAGCCCCTGCCCAGAACGCACAGACAGATGCTGCCCCAAAATCAGCTGCAAACAGTGATGGCATTTAGCAGCACCAGGGAAACTACTGCTTTCTGACATCTGCTCAGAGTGCCCCGCCAGCACTGCTGAACACCTGCCTGGGGGTTTCATCAGCATCACAGCCCCCATTCCCCCACAGCTGCACCGTTACCGTGGCTTAGCAGTACCACCTACTCCTCACCACTGCCTACCTGTGCTCTAGGGCTGGGACAGTCTGTGAGCCAGGGTGTAGCAAACATCTCTCTGATCTAGGCTTAGCTTCCTGGTCCAGGGAAGTCCTTCAGCACATGCTTAAGTTTCTCCCCATGTTAGTGGGGCTTAAGTGCCAGCAAAGCATGCGGTTGCTGGATTAAGCCCTCAGATGGGAGAGCAAGCCGCCTGCCAAAGTCCCGTGTGTGCGGGGAATAATGTTTTCTACCCATCTCATGCAAGTATCTACCCACTGTCCAGCCACACACACGCCAGGTTGCCACCTCCTGTGGGGCCAGGATCTCTTGTGTTGTCTCCAAACCTTTCTGCAGTATCTGATCTGTCTCCCTATTTATCACCAAATAGGCTGATCTCCTAGGAGGCCCCTTTAGCTTCCAACTGCAGACCAGCCAACAGGGCTCTTCTCCGATGACCCTGGAGGGAGTGTGATCAAAGGGGAGGCCTCACCAGGCCCCTCCAGCTCACTCCTAGCCCGATGGGCTCAGAGCCATCCGCTCGGTCACAGCAGGTAATTCCATTAGTCTCTTCATCAAATTATCCTCCACAAGCCGCATCGCATTGTTCCTCCTGTCTTTCACCTGGGCCACGTTTCCATGAGTACAGACACCCCACCCCAGCCTTGTGACCCTCCCCTACAGAGCAGCCCTCAACTCACACCTCCAGGGCCCCGTGCTCCCCAGAGCAAGGGCTCTAGGTGCAAACCACACTGCTGGATCAGGCTCAGCGGCCCATTTTTTACCTACATCCAGGCCTCTGACTCTCTTCTCAACCCCTCTGCTTCTCACTTCAAACAGCCCCCAGGTCATTCTGGACCTGCTGCTCAGACTGATACCAAGACCAAGCTGGTTTAAAACCCAAGCCTGAGGACTTTACTGGTGCGCACGCTTAATGCAAGCATTGCATGTAACCCCAGTCTGCTTGGGGTGGAGATGGGGAGAGGTGGCATCAAATCAGGGATTAAATATTCCTGATGCCCCTTCTCCTGTCTGGTTTGGACCCCCCGCCCCTCAGGAAAGAAGGATCAGGGCTTGGAAGAAATCCCTCCACTTGCAAATCAATGTATCCTGGCCCCGCCGGTGGTTTCCATTCAGGGGATGATGTGGGAGCAGGCTGAAAACAAGGCCACTGTCGAACTCCATCAGCGAGGACAGACACCAAGATGCACACTGGCGCTGCGTGGGAAAGGCGGAAGATTTTAACCCTTGCTGGGCAAATCCATCCATTGATCAGTGCTGGGAAAAGGTCTCCTCCTCTCCAGGAGACTCCTGAAAACAGTTCTAGCTGTTCAAACTGACACACAAACCCAGGCCTGAACTGACAATGCTGAGCCAGATACGAAAGAGAGGCCCCTTATAGGAACCTGCCAGTTCGCACATAACCAGACAGTTCAGATACAAATGCAGAAGCCTCCATTAATGGGTAAAGGATATTGGAAAAACACTTGGGTTGCTCAACTTGCTTTTGAAATGCGAAAGGAGATGGGAGGGGGGGACGAGGCAGCGAAGGGAAGCAAACAAAACCATTCCTACCTCTTTTTCTGAGATATAGAGCTGATCTCCCTTTAAAACCACATAACGGTTTTTCCAGATTTCTCTAAAAATGCCTTTCCCGCAAAATTTCCGCACCCAGCCGACTTTCTCTGGCTGCAAGGGCTGCTGGTTTCCATCCTGTGGCCCCTAGCAAAAAAAAAAAAAAAAAAGGGGGGGGGGGGGGAAGAGACAAATGCATTATTAGAGGTTTTATGCCCCTACGCTTTGACCGTTCTGTCCCCAACTCTCCCCCACCCCTGAAGCGGAGACTTAGGTACTTTGCCAATTCTACTTTGCCAAAATTGCCCTGTGAAGACATGAAGGAATAACAATAATAATAATAATACCAAAGGAATGAGACACATTCATAAGGGGTGTCTCAATCTGGGCATTATATAAGAAAGGCTGCTCTGTTGCATTCAGCTGAGACAGCATGCGTTTGCTGTTAGGGGGAAGGCAATTCTCACTAATTGATTTTTTACTGCAGTGCAAAATGCATTTTTTGAGCCTTTGACAAAGAATTAAAGGCAAAAATATAAAGCCTGGATTTTTATTTATTTATTTTTTTAGAGGTGATCCCTCTCTATAAAGTCCCCAGAGTGATCTATAGGCACGGCACACACACACACACACACGCATGCACACAGAAAGACTCTGCAGAGAGAAGCCGGAGAGAGAAACACAATGTCTGTTGTGTGTATTTCATTGCTTCCTTGCAGTCAAAAATGAAAACCGCATGACTCTACATCCCCTGCTCTACAAAACGGGACTGGGTTTCTTGGCAAAATTCAAGTCAAAGGAGGGGACACGGTGCAGCTGGACAGAAAGAAAGATTGGGGGGGGAGGGGGTTGATCCGTTTTCTTCTTTCAAAAGGTGGAGGAAAGACTCAAAAGGAACAATTGGAATGAAAGAAATGATCCCCCAGCAAAAAAAAAAGCCCCGGCACCCCCCTCATCCACTCCCCACCCGGCCCAAGGAAGAAGCCGTTTCAACTCACCCTTTTTGCAGAATTATTTTTTTTCATCATTCCTTAATGTAAGCAGCCTGGAGGGGGGGAGGGGTTTGGGGAGGGGGACCAGAGAGGGGCTCCTGATGGCAATGAAGCTGGATTTGATGTGCCTGCTCTGGGGGGGAAGTGTATGGGAGATACACTGGGTACCTCCTCTCTCGCGCTCTCTCTTCGCCCTTTGCAGATTACAGAAGCTCTCCAGTTACATTAAAGACCAGCCTGCTTCTGTAACACATCCCCACATACTTATCCATACACACAGCATCCCCCCCACCACCATCCCTCTGCGCTTTCATGGGCTTGCACTGAAGGGCTGGCCTGGGCTCCAGAGCTCCATCTATAGCCAAGCGAGTATGACGTCTCAGAGTCGAGAATAAAGGGCGAATCACAGTCCACGAGGGTTTTCTTCTTTGTTTCTGACTCATTACCGAGGGTGGGAAGGGAAGGAGTTGGGGGGGGGGACAGGCCAGGCTGAGGGTCAGCAGCAAGGGGAAGCTGGAGGGAGGCCTGCAAATTGTCAGCTGTCTGCAAGCTGCGCCTCAGCGCAGGTCGCTGCAAGACTTCCCGGCTGCCAGAAGAGCGAGCGCGAAGGTTTTCACACCCAGGGGAACCGCAGCCGAGAAAGTGGCTGGAAGAGATGAAGCATAAACAAAGGAAGCGATTGCCTCTCGCCTGCTCGTGTTTGGCAGGCGTGGGAAGGGGGGGCTTCTTCCCGCTCTCATCTCGGGCCCACAGGGCCCAGTGTGCCAAACACGGAGAGGTGCCAATGGTAAACACCCCAAAAAGTTTGGGGCACCTATAGCTGATGTGCTGCTTATTGGTTGGTGACGGTGTGTCCATTGCAGCTCGATGGGAGCACGGCGCTGGTGGCATGGCATGGGTGCTGGGTAGCATGGCACGGGGGGCATGGCATGGGTGCCGTGGTACTCAGGTCATAGAGAGATTAATTAGCTCCATGGGTGAAGAGCCTTGCAGTGAAGACGTTCAACCTGAAGCTTGGCACACACCCACACTTTGCCACTGTCAGACTATATTTCAGCCCAGGTACATAGGAATGAACGCCAGGAGAATGCCGTGGATGTACCAGCGTGGCCGCGGACATCCTCTTTGTGCATTAAAATCCTGGAAGCCAAAATAGCCACGGAAAGCTTGGCATATAAAGTCTTTGCTGGCCATTCAAGTATGGGAGAAATGGTCTTTTAGCCCTTCCATTTCTATGGGAACTTCCTCCCCCACCATATACACACACACGCACACTTCACAGGCTCTGCAGAGACCAGGAATATCTGCAACAAATTGCTGTCTAACACAGAGCCTTGCATAAAGTGTGAGCACCTTGGGAAGGGAGCAGCACTGGAGGAGTTCAGTGTTTGTACAGCACCTGGCACAGCAGGTCCCGAGCTACTGAGAGTGAAATAAATGCAGACAACAGACAGAATAAGCATGAAACACCGTAAACGATAATATAGTTGTGATAATAAATTAACAAAATAACAGAGTATGGTAGAATCGTGGATGATCTCACGAGGTCCCTTCCAGCACTAAACTTCTGCGAATATAATAACCCTATGTCCAAGGTTTCCGGGGAGTTCAGCTTAAGATGCTCAGGCTTAAGTGACTTGGTCCTTTCCACCACTGCCCAATCTCCGTAAACTGCCATTTTGCAGCCGTCTTCCATCCTGTAACCATACCTTGACCTATGAAGATCCAGCAGATCCACAGCACAGGATGACAGATTGCCAACTTGCAGACAGTGACATCAGTCCAGGAAGTTGCGAGAGGAATATTAATTCAGAATGATAACGATATGCTTCAAGCAGATTTCCCACAATATCGTAATGTCCCTCTCCAGGGCTGGGGCGCTGCCTCGAGCTTCAAGTGAGCTGGGCTTCAGTCCCTGCTCTCTGAACTGTGGCATTTAGTTGCCTTTTGAGTGCCTCAGTTTCCCCATCTGTGAAATAAGGGTAATTATCCTTTGATGTTTAAAATGTAGGGAACTCTACAGCTGGAAACTGCTCCTCCAGGGCTAAGAGTTGGAAACTGCTCCTCAAGGGCTAAGGGTGCATGTAGATCATTGCTGTTATGAGCTTGACTTTCCTAAGTGAATACAATGCTCAAAGGAGCTGAGCTGGGAACAGATCCCTGTTCTCCAGATCCAAGGCTAGGACTTTAGCTACTAGGCCATGCTGCCTCCTTATCAATTCCCAGGGGGATCTGGAGTGGAAAACTCAGAGCAGGGCAGTCTACTACTGGCACAGAGCACCATTACCCTCCGTTCACTGGAAAGTCAGTCTGGGCAGCAAAAGCACTGGCTTCCACTTCCCCTGCCATCATGGAAGAACCAGCTCATAGAGGTGAGAGGGACTGCAGCATGACCAAGGCCACGAGCTCCCAAAGCCTCGAGTCAGCCCCCACTCAACCATGGGATCGCCTGACAAATCAGGAAGTTCAAACAAACTGCACGCTCACCCACAGCCAGCTCACACATCCCCCAGTCTGCTGAAAAAGCAGCTTTCCTGAACCACTTGGGTAGGTCCCACAAAGGGCAAAGCCACTGACCAGGTTGGCAGGAACTGACAGCTTGCATGGACAGGGGGCCTAAAGACCCTAATGCATTTTGCATCTTTCCATCCAGGTTCCCAGATTTTCTGTCCTTCATTATGAGACAAAAGTCAACGTTCGTGGAACTCACCGTCATTAAAAGCCTCTTCACCCTTAGCACATGAGCAGAGGTGCTAACCTTCATTTCCTGGACTAATTTAAACATGCCAAACAAGTCTCAGCTGGATATGGCCTAAATTCTCAGTGACACCAGGGCCCCTTATGCTGTCCTGCTAGTGGGAAAGAAGGGGAGAGCAAGTGTGAGCATGCACTCACCCCAAAAAGCTGCCTGGCAATTCTTCACCTCCTATGGGGAAGTCAGCTCATATCTAGCCCTGCTGAATCAGGAGAATGGAAGGGATTTCCATGTGTAGTCCAAACCCACTCCAATCACCTGGTATCAAAGGGAGTGAGCCAGGGAGAGTTCAAGGCAGCTTAGGATATCTGGTCTGGAGCTCTGCTCCTTTGGAAATCCCTAGGCCAGATCCACGCCAGGAGTGAATGGCTTTAACTATTGCAGTCAACAGAGGTACAGTGATTCATCTCCTTTCCAATCTCTCTCCCCGCTTCCCTAACTGATCAGTCCCTCCCAGCTCCAGAATTTGCCCCTCACTCCCTCCTGTTATGGTTGGCAACAGCATTTGCCATGGCAGATATGAGCTTGTGCCCATGGATACATATAAGCTCTGAAATCAATGTTACATGTCTGCACAGCTAATAGGGAGACTTTCGTCCCTGATTAGCTGCTAATTAACTTGATCCACAGCTTAACAACCTTTGTGGAGACAGTGTTATAGGATTGTTTATTTTTCCAGGGTTTTTTTTAATTGTGGTTTCAGGAAATATAAAAACTAACAATAAATAACATTTGGAGGGAAAGCAATTGAAGGCTGTAGTGCCTGGCAGCTGTACAACCATTAGCAGGGCAGAGAGAGGCAAAACGAGTGATGTTACAGTGATGCACAAAGACCATTAATTGTTATTTATTGTCTGCCTGGTGGGAGCTCCTAGGAGACCATCATGGACATTAGTAAAGCACTAGAACAGGTTACCCAGAGAGGTTGTGAGATCTCCATCCTTGAGAATTTTTTAAGACCCAGGAAGACAAAGCCTTGGCTGGGACGATCTAGTCAGGGATGGTGCTGCTTTGAGCAGGGGGTTGGACTAGATGTGACCCCCTGAGGTCCCTTCCAACCTTCATTTTCTATGATCCTATCACTGGTACCTCCAAGTGCTAGATGCTGGACAAATATGCAAGGAAGCAAGGTGAGGTAGGGCACACAGCTCCTCAGACAGCAGGGTCTGATGGGCAGGGCATGGCACTGCAACCCAAGAGACCTGTGTCCTAAACCCATCCCTTCTTGCTGATGCATCTCAGGACTGACTTGCACAGAAGGGAGTCTGACACCATCCCCAGAGACCTCCCATATGCGGCCGAACAGGGATTATGGCAGATACACCAGCACAGAATCACAGAATCCAACAAAATTCAGGTTGGAAGGGACCTCAGGAGGTCACATCAAGTCCAACCCCTTGCTCAAAGCAGGACCAGCCCCAACTATAACATCTCGGGATAGCAAGAGCATAACTGTGCTGGCTGCTGCTTACCAGATTAAATGAGTTTAATTAGGGCACATGGATCTTCTTCCTTCTGAAGATAATCACTGCATGATTGGGAATGCAGGGAATGATACAGCATCCCCTTAAGGGAAAAACTTGGGTTCAGAAGCTGATTGCTAATGAGAGACTCCTATAATCCCCACAGAGGGAAACAGGGAACAACCAACTGTTCCCAGGCAAGACCCTGATTCTCTGCCCCCCTCTCTGTCATGCACCAGTGCAATGCAGGCCTGGACTGGCATTGACCCTAGCCTCCCTTTGCAACAAATCAGGCCCTGCAAAGGAACCCAGTTACACCTTCAGGCCCCTCTACATCCCAGAGAAGCAAGGAAAGTATTAGTGGGACCAGAAATTGAGGCTGCAGCATTGGCTTACCATGCACAAACAACACAATACATAGACTTTAGCGCAGCGATGTCTGGACAGCACCTAGCACCTGGGGCATCCTGGCTCATACCTCGGGCTTCTGGCTGCTACCACAATATGATAATAATGATGATGGGTGGTGGAAGAACAGGCCCTCTGAAATTTCACCAAGGAATTAACTGCCTTGAAAAGAACAATAAATATTCAAAAGGGAATCACGACCATATGGTTTATGACCAGACTTTCTAAGCCATGCATCCCGTAGGTTAAATATCGTTAAGGAAATAAGGAACAATGGGTTTGTAGGAAATCTTTGGCAAACATATGTTTGAGCTGTGTCATGGAGCCCAAAATATCATTTTTTTATTTTTTATTTTTTTTTAAACAAAGGACACACAGGGGGGAAAGGACCTTGGAAATAAAAGGCAGAACAAAGGGAGAGTCTCTTCCTCAAGTCCTTATTATCTCTTTTGCTCCCAACCTCAAACATCCTCGTCCTGCATTTCAGCCCTGATGTTGCAATTTCGCTGCCCTGTGAAGCGCTGATTCATAATAAACAGTTACCAAAATATCTCCTTGCAGCAAAAACAGCAGAACAAACGCTATGGGTTATTATTTTTCCCTCCCTCCTCCTTTTTGCATTATTTAGCCTCGAGATAGCGAGAGTGTAACCATGCTGGCTGCTGCTTACAAGATGAAATGAGTTTAATTAGGGCATATGGATCTTCTTCCTTCTGAAGATACTCGCTGCGTGATTGGGAATGCAGGGAAAAGTGCTGCCTGCAAAGAACT